GGAATAGACAGGCCTGGACACTGGAGTTCGCCTCATCGGGGCGGGCGAGCTGCAAATCTAGGGGGGGGGGCAGATAAGCAAGTTTGGGGACTGAGTTCAGTGATGAGCAACGTGGGGGAAAGGGCAGAATTTAGGCATCGTTCGGGCAGGCAAAGGGGCCAGGGCTGTTCCTTAACAGACACCCGCGGTGGCATCACAGGACAGTCCCTCAGTGACATGCAGTGAAACACAGTGCTGCAAAGGGGCCCAAGAATTACTATGTTACCGGCCAGACGGTTTCCTATACCAGTGCTACACGTAGGACAGAAGGAGCAATGGTGGGGAGGGGAGGGAGGGAAGCGACAGAGGGAAGAGAGGTCGGACATTCTTATCTCCACATGGAAGGGCCAGGTCTGGCCAGGAAACCACTTTCGAAACAAAAGTGGGAGTCAGAGAGGGGTTCAGAAAATTACTATCTAACTCTAATTTTAATGTTTACAAGCCATATGATTTTTCGAGCAGAAGTGTCAGTCAACCATGAATTTGGACTGTTCGTTTTCCTCATATCAGTCACAGAAAATCTACGAAGATTCTTAAAACTTGACCTTATAATTCTGAGTCGCAAAGTAGCAAATACACCACCACCTGCCCGAAAACTCAGCTCTGCCTGGAAGGAAGTCAGGCCGAGGAACATTCTGCAGATTATGATTAATGATTAACTGGCTGATCGCTGTACCAAATAAAATGTGTCATAACCAAAGAACATAAATACCGTAATTAAACACGGATCGCAGCTTCTTCCAAAACATGCTTCTGGAGAGTTAAAAGACAAACACTGGTGATGCACCGAGAGAAGACATTTCGAGAAGTTTTTCAGCAGCTCATGGCACACCCTGTGTTGGCTGTGGGAGGGCTTTCAAGAGACAACCGGCCATCACTCAGGACAGCAGCAGAGCAGGGAGAGCTGCCCGGGAAAGATGCAGAAATGTTCTGACATGACGAGTTGGCCCCAAAGCCTGAATACTGAGCCAACAATTTACCTTCGACAGGATAAGAAATGGGAAACCAACTCATTTATCAGGAGGGTTAGCACCGGACTAATCAGTGGACATTTCCTGGATCCATTCCAGGAGTGGCTGAGAACATTCCAGAGAGGCTGCTGCTTTCTCTGATACTCAGTAATCAATACAATTATCACCAAGTGGATTTTATGTGATAAACTCCTCAGAACGGGTGTCACGGATTTATGTCGTCTGCAGGCAGTGTAAAATCACGAAACATTCTGGAAGCGTGACCATGGTGGGAGTGTGACTTTTCAGGCTCAAGCAAGACTGCCACCATTTTGAAATTCAAAGACTGCATTTTTCTGTGGGTGTGAATGATGAGTCCTTTGAGAAATCTACATACCTGTGGCTTGAAAATGAATTTGCCGATTGGAATTTGCTTAAATTTTTAACCAGGACTTCAGTCCCAGGTACAAAGAATGAACAGTGTGTCCTCCTGGTGCCACAAATAATTAAAGCTATTTTAGGACCAGACTCCTTGTCAATGGAGATTCTAACAGGTGAAATAAATAGTTCTCACCCACAAGTGGGGGCTGGGGGCTTCCGTCTAAAGGGGGGGGCGGGGTTAAGGAGGAGCCAGGCCTGATCCGCCTGGAGCCCAGAAGCTGCTGTGTCCTGAGGGAATGCTGTTTCCCACTAGGTCTCTAACAGGGCTGTTAGGGACCTGACAAAACCCAGGCCCCTCCCAGCAGCCTGGAGCAAGGAAGGTTTTTCTTTCTAGCTTCACCCACCCTGCTTTTCTTTAGCTGGTTTGTTTTTCCTGCCCATGCTTGTAAGTGTCTAAGATAACAAACCAAAAGGCAGAGCTCTGATCAGACTGCCTTAACCCAAGCCAGGCAGAAAGAGACTTAATCGATATTTAGTACTTGGGACATCTCGGCCCTAAGAAGGGAAACAAGAGCAATAAAGCAGAGAATACTATTCATCTTCATTTTTATCATCACCATTATTATTATTTGGCCCTCGTTGGTTTCTGCTTTTCTTTGGGGCTTTCCAAATAGAGAGCCCAGTCGGAAAACTCAATATAATTGCTCTGGGCCCCGGCAGAGCACAACTATTATCCAGCACCAATTCAAGAAAGTGAAAATCAACATTTTCTCTGCCATCCTTGTTTCGAGATTATATCTCACACACAGGCGAAATGAAACCCACGTTCATTTTAGGGGTCAATGTGAATTTCAACACTAATTATTTTAAAAGGAAAAATAACTTGTGGAGGATGATGCTATCTTTTCCCTTTTTGTGGCACACAGGATTTACATAGAACTGAGGATTCGAGACCATTTATTTTCATCACACACCTCACCGCACACAGTTTCAGTGAGAATGCATATGTACAATGCGGCGCAAGTCGGGATTTACTCCCGTTCCGTATGGCGCCTTGGCATTTACATCAGTCTAATCAATAAGCTGAATTACTGTCACAAAATTGCTAGGAAAAAAATGTTACTTTCTGGCAGTCATTGTCACGTCTACCCGTTAACTTGCTACACTGGGCTTCATCATGAAATCCTCAGCCGAGGTCTCTTCTACTCAAGTTAGCAGTCTCTCCACTTCACACCGAGCCCTGGCTCGCTCTTGTTACTCCTTCCAGGCAACGCCAAGATCTGGAGCTCGCCTCCATCTGCGGGTGCGGCACCACCGCGGTGCGCGCACCCCGCTTCTCCCTCCATCCTTCGAGGGCCTATACCACAGTCCTTTGAGAACATAACCCAAGTAGGAAAACCGCGACAACTCCCGCCCGTGATCAAAAGCAACCTGGCGCCCGGAAGGGCACTGGCTTTTGTTCCAGCGGTGCCCAGCTGGCTAGGTAAGCGCGCGGCGAGTCCTCCAGCGGGCAGGCTGCCGGGCACTGAGCCTCCGGAGCCCCCGAGAGAAGCCCTCGTCCACGCAATCCGTGCGCGTGGGGACACCAACCCGCGACACGAGGGCGTGGGGAGGGCCGGGACGACATCCTCCGGCCTTTCCAGTTCGAGGCGCCATCAGGTTCACCCAGCGAGGCTCCCCGCCGGGGCCGGGCGCTAAGGGGGCGGGCGGCGGGAGATGGGACGGGCGGGGAGGGAGCTGGTGTCGCAGGGGCGCGGGGACCCGGCGCGGACGCAGGTCCCGCCCCGCCTCAGGGGACAATCAGAAAGGCTACGTGGGTCGGTGGTTTTCGGCTTCCTGTTTGTAAGGGAGAACCTCCCTCCCGACTCCCGGACGGCGGCTCTTCCCCGGGCCGGAGCCCGAGCCCGCCTCCCCGCGCTCGGGGCGCGCGCGGCC